CCCCAACCCCGACGGCTGCAGCCACCCCGTCCCTGTCCCCTGACGCTGTCCCCGTGTCCCCGTGTCCCCAGGCTCGCCGCTCCCGGCCGCGCCGAGGGCTCTGCTATGATCTGGCGGTGTCGGGAGCAGCATGGGCAGCGTCAGCAGCCTCATCTCCGGCCACAGCTTCCACTCCAAGCACTGCCGCGCCTCSCAGCACAAACTGCGCAAACCCTCGCACCTCAAAAAACTCAACCGCTACTCGGACGGGCTGCTCCGCTTCGGCTTCTCGCAGGACTCCGGCCACAAGTCCGGCTCCAAGAGCAGCAAGAATGAGGATTTTTTTTACATCAAGGTCAGCCAGAAGCCGCACGGTCCCCACCGGCCGGACTACACGGCGCTGGCCGGAGGAGAGCTGGGCGTGCCCGCCGGGACCAGCGGGCTGGACTTCGGGACGCCCACGCCGCAGAAGTTGATGCCGTTCCCGAGCCAGCTGGAGGTGGTGAGTGGGTGAAGGTGGCCCTGGGAGTGAGGGGACAGCGTTAAAATGTCCTCAGGGCTCAGCGCGGGGCTGTCCTGCTCGCGGTCCACGAGGGAGATCGGGGCACAGGGTTTGTGTTGGGGAGCGAGAGAGCAGGGGCAGCTCAGGATGCTCTGGCGCTCTCGGCTTTTGGGGATTTGGATCAGCAGAACAGCCCCGGGGGGTTTGGAATCTTTAATTTCAAACTGCTCGGCCAGCAGCATCCTCCCGAGGGGGCACACGGGGCGGGAGGAGCTGGGGTCGGTGTGAAGAGGAAGATTGAGGCAGAGGGTTTGCGCTGGCGCTCTCGGCTTCTGGGGATTTGGATCAGCAGAACAGCCTCGGGGTGTTTGGATCCTTTAATTTCCAAACCCAGCAGAGCCAGGCTCAGCCAGCAGCATCCTCCCGAGGGGGCACAAGGGGCAGGAGGAGCTGGGGTCGGTGCCGACGAGGAAGATCAGGGCAGAGGGTTTGCGCTGGCGCTCTCGGCTTTTGGGGATTTGGATCAGCAGAACAGCCCCGGGGAGTTTGGAATCTTTAATTTTCTAACCCAGCAGAGACAGGCTCAGCCAGCAGCATCCTCCCGAGGGGGCACAAGGGCCGGGAGGAGCTGGGGTCGGTGCCGACGAGGAAGATCGGGGCAGAGAGTTTGCGCTGGCGCTCTCGGCTTTTGGGGATTTGGGTCAGCAGCGCCGCCCGGGGGGTTTGGAATCTTTAATTTCCAAACCCAGCAGAGGCAGGCTCAACCAGCAGCATCCTCCCGAGGGGGCACAAAGGTCAGGAGGACCCACGAGGAGCTGGGGTCGGTGCTGACGGGGAAGATCGGGGCAGAGGGTTTGTGCTGGGGAGCTGGGGGTGCTCTGGCGCTCTCGGCTTTTGGGGATTTGGGTCAGCAGAACCGCCCGGGGGGTTTGGAATTTTTAATTTCCAAACCCAGCAGAGCCAGGCTCGGTCAGCAGCATCCTCCCGAGGGGGCACAAAGGTCAGGAGGACCCACGAGGAGCTGCGGTCGGTGTGAAGAGGAAGATCGGGGCAGAGGGTTTGTGCTGGGGAGCTGGGGGTGCTCTGACGTTCTCGGCTTTTGGGGATTTGGATCAGCAGCACGGCCCGGGAGGTTTGGAATTTTTAATTTCCAAACCCAGCAGAGGCAGGCTCAACCAGCAGCATCCTCCCGAGGGGGCACACGGGACGGGAGGAGCTGCGGTCGGTGCTGAGGAGGAAGATCGGGGCAGAGGGTTTGTGCTGGCGCTCTCGGCTTTTGGGGATTTGGATCAGCAGAACCGCCCCGGGGGGTTGGAATCTTTAATTTCAAACTGCTCAGTCAGCAGCATCTTCCCGAGGGGGAACACGGGCCGGGAGGAGCTGCGGTCGGTGCTGACGGCTCCGCTCTTCCCTCGCAGGCCGGGGAGAAGCCGCTCCCCCGTCCCACCGCCTTCAAACCGGTGCTGCCGCGCTCCGGGGCTCTCCTGCGCTCATCCCCCGAGGCCCCTCCGCTGCACCCTCCGGACAAAGGCAAGGAGCAGGAGCTGCGGCCGCTGCCGTGCTCGGGGGGTCTGTCCGACTCCGGCCGTAACTCCATGTCCAGCCTGCCCACGCACAGCACCAGCAGCAGCTACCAACTGGAGCCGCTGGTGACACCCATGGGCCCCATCAGCCGCTTCGGCGGCTCTGCCCACAACATCCTGCAGTGCGCCGTCATCCAGGACAGCAACATGATGAGCCTCAAGGCCATGTCCTTCTCGGACGGCGGCAACAAGATCCTAAACCCGGGCAAAGCCGCCCAAAAAGCCGCCTGCGTGCGCTCGCCGCTGGCCACCGACGATTCCACCATCCAGGAGCTGGAGCAGAAGCTGCTGGAGAGGGAAGGGGAGCTGCAGGAGCTGCAGTCGAGCTTCGAGGAGAAGGAAATCAGCTCCTGCCAGGCGTACGAGGAGAAGCAGCGGCGCTGCAAGGAGGAGCTGGAGGGGCTGAAGCAGAAATGCAACAGCAAACTGAAGCAGACGTCGCAGAAAACGCAGCGGACGCAGCAGGTGCTGCACCTGCAGGTTTTYCAGCTGCAGCAGGAGAAGCAGCAGCTCCGTGAAGAGCTGGAGAAACTGGTGAAGGAGCAGAACSTGCTGGAGACCAAGCTGAGGTCCTACGAGAAGGAGAAGACCAGCTTTGCACCGGCGCTGGAGGAGACGCAGTGGGAGGTGAGAGGGRAAAGGGTGAAGGGGTTGGGGAGGGGGAGAGATCCAAACAACCCCAGACCTTCCCATCCCTGTGCTGCAGCCAGGAGGAGCTCCCAGGGTGCAGGAAATGGATAGGAAATATCAGAAAGTGGATATGAAATCCCGGGAAATGGATAGGAAATCTCAGGAAATGGATAAGAAATCTCAGGAAATGGATAGGAAATCTCAGAAAGTGGATATGAAATCCCGGGAAATGAATAGGAAATCTCAGAAAGTCGATATGAAATCCCTGGAAATGGGTATGAAATCTCAGGAAATGGATATAAAATCCCAGGAAACGATAGGAAATCTCAGGAAATTTATATGGAATCTCAGGAAATGGATAGGAAATGTCAGAAAGTGGATATGAAATCCCAGGAAAGGGGTAGGAAATCCCTGGAAATTGATAGGAAATCTCAGGAAATGGATAGGAAATATCAGGAAATGGATAGGAAATCTCAGGAAATTGGTATGAAATTTCAGGAAATGGATAGGAAATCTCAGGAAATGGATAGGAAATCTCAGAAAGTCGATATGAAATCCCAGGAAAGGGGTATGAAATCCCTGGAAATGGGTATGAAATCTCAGGAAATGGATAGGAAATCTCAGGAAATGGGTAGGAAATTTCAGGAAATGGATAGGAAATCCCAGGAAATGGATAGGAAATCCCAGGAGAGCCCCAGGCTGTCCCATGGTGTGTTTTGATAATTGAGGTTCTCACTGCCCCTCATCAAAACCCCTGCATAAAACCCCTTCAGCCATTAAAATAAAACAAATAATAGATTTAAATAAATGCAGTGTGTAAATAAATATATACACGTAAATACACATATAAACTTAAATAAATAAATAAATAACATATTTAAATAAATAAATGTAAATAATTAATTAAAAAAATATATTTAAATAAATTAATAATGTATTTAAATAAATAAAAAAAAATAGAATAAATAGAATAAAAAGGCATTCCCAGCCTCCAGCACGGGGTGTTCTGGCTGCAGCCCCACAGGAGCAGTAAAGCTGCCTTCCCACGAGGAAATAGGAACTCCTTGGTGAGGGAGCACTAAAACCTTCCACACTCTGCTTAAGCTGGATTTACTCACTCCTGGCTTGATTTACTCACTCCT